ATATTTTACTTCATCATCGTCGTTTAAAGCAGTAACATCCTTTGGAGGCCATTGTTCAAAATCCCTATAAGCAACAGTGATTGTTCTAAGACTATCATTGGCAAAAGACTCGATAAGTTGTTCAAGTTGTCTCATATTATAACTGCTGCCGCTACTAATGTCACCACTACCATTATTATTGTTTATATTTATATTATTTAAATCAATCACATCACCAGTGGCAATATTTACTACCGATTCTGATTTACTTAACAATACCTCACTAGCACCTTTAATGTGAAATCTCCATTTGTCTTCTTTTGTAATCAAAATACCCATTGCTTTACGTTCAGAACTGAAAGGAAACAATTGTACGACATTAGCTTGTGATCTTAAATCATTGAAATCATCAAGTCCTAAATCCAACAAAAAATCTAATAAAGCAGTTTCGGTTTTTGAACCAACAAAAGCATTTCTTCCATTAACTAACACACAACCATGAAATGCACTAGAAATTACTCAAATAGATTCTTCTAACATTTCCAAATTTTCATGTGCTAAACATTCTTTAAATTTTTCCTTTGATTTTTGGTCCTTCAATAACGATTCGTTTTTTTTATAACCCTGTCTTTGAAACTCTACTGAAGACCCTATTATTCCAGTAACTACAGTCATTTTATTCTGTGTCAAAGTACCAGTTTTATCAGAACATATTGTTGTTGCATTACCCATTGTTTCACATGCTGATAAGACTCTTACGAGATTATTATCCTTTAACATACGAGTAGTAGCGTATGCAAGTGCTTTTAAAATAAAAACATTTATTAGAAGAAAATTCATATTATATATTATATATTATATGTTATATTTACCAAGTGTAACAGCTAAAGGAAGACCTTCGGGAATAGCAACGACAACAATAGTAACTGTTGAAATAATTATTGTGACCAAATTTTCGATTATTGTAGCTGCACCATCGCTTGGATGAAACGTGGCAAAATATTTTATTAATAAAGTTAATAACATAATGATTGCAGCAGTTCCGCCAAGTTTTGCTATTCTTTCAGCTAAATCATTCAATTTATCTTGAAGTGGTGTATTTTCTGGGTCTTTTCTCAATGCTGAAAGTGTGTGTATACATATATATATCTAAGTCACAAAAAAAACTTAACCTTTTTTTTACTAATTTATATACTTCATATTCTTTGACTAAATGAATCAATACATCTTATTTGTGTGATTTAAATTTTTACTACAAGAATTAAATAATATATTTCTATAAATATAAACATGATACTATTATATAATCCTAAATCACTAAACTTTCATGTCATGACTTTTTATATTAATACTGTTACTTTATATTATTGCATATTCAGGATTCTAATTCTACTTATTATTATTGGAATTTTTATATCATTATTATCATCATCACCATTATTTCCATTGTCATTATTTCCCATATTTGGTTGCTGTTCATCAATCTTGAAAATGAAATTTTGTCTGTTTCAATCCAATATTCATCATCTCGAGACTATTCCAATAAACCAGATTATAACTATTAACTAATTCAGCAGTTCCCTTAACAACCATTATTTGTTCAACGTTATGACATTTTTCCTCAAAGGCTAATTTAGAAAATCTATCTTTAATCCCACAATGTATTGTAAATTTTCCCAAGGTCATAGGGGTTAATTTCTTTATTGTTAAGTAAGATAATCCCACTACTTTAAATAGCGTATAAGTTCTTCTTGCTATGTTGGCCATCCTGATTCCTTTAAATTAATCCAGACATTGAATTATTTTGGCTTTGTAGTTTGAAGGTCTTTCTGATAAAAGTTCCCCAAGGACATAATATTATTCTAAAACAACCTTATTATCAAGATTACTATTATTATTATTAGTTTTATTGTGTTCATGTTCATATTCCCAATTATCATATAAATCTTTATTATCAATCCAACGTTCTTGTACTTCCATAACAGTATGAAGGTTTCCAGGATCGTTTCCAATTGTTGCCATCATAATACTTTCGTTATTAGATGTCAGTCCATTAAATATATAACCATTTGCTCTATCAATTACTTGAATTAGTTGTGATACAGATTTTTTGTCCTTTTTATATATTGGTATTAATATTATATGAGTAAAAAAAAGGAACGAGTGAATAATATTTAATATTATATAATAAACAAAAATTTCTCTTCCACACCCATATCCATAAACAAACCATTAATTATCTCATACCTCAATGCATAATGTATAGAATCCAACCAAACTAAAATCTTCAATTAAGCCACACAATGCTTTATTTAATTCTTTAAATTTGCTTGTAAATGGATCTTTGTCCAATTTTTGTAATAAATATGATAAATCTTGCACTTCAGTATAAAAATTTAAATTAAAAGCTGGTTTATTTATTTTTTTGTCACAAATTATTATATTAGTGAGTAGTAAGTGTGTGAGAAATTAATGACATTAATTTATTTACCTACCTAATTTTCCATAAGATTCCATTAAGTCTATTTTTGATAATACATTTATATGTGGCAATTCTATCTGTAACATTGTTTTAAGTGATAATAGTAATATTGAAATATATTTGGATGGATCTGTGCAATAATGTGCATCTACTAAATGCACCGTCACCAACTAATTAATCAAATTTTGTGCATGAGATATTTTTAATTTCTTAACAATATTATTAATAACATCATTTAATTATAATAAATAATTCGTTAATTTACCCACCCTGTAATCTAATTTTTGTAATTTATCTATAATATTTTTTACTGAATTATGATGTGTGAAAAGTTCAACTTGTCCAGGGAAATCAAACAAAAGATAATCATCTAAAGATCAATAATAAGATATGTATGTATAAACTATTGAAATCAATATTTATAAAAATCTATTGTGATCTCTATTAATTATTATTACCTTTTAATTCTTTTAATTTCTCTTCCAACCAATCAAAATTCACTTCCAAAAATTCCATGCAATACATCATTCCTCCGTTTGGACCTAAATACCATAATAATAAAATTATTTTCCTTCTGTCTTTTGTTTTGTAATTGTATATCCTCATCCTGCTTTCTTTTCTTAATGTTTATTATTTTTCTTTCTTCTTGGTAAATTTCATAATTAATCCTTTCCTTTCTTAGATAAGCTTCCAGTGTCTGAGAATTTATTTTAAAAATATAAGGAGCAATTTTTTCACCTTATTCCTTCTATAATTCTTGGGTTTCATAGTAGATCTGATGTAAATTAGCTTCATA